ACAGTTGTTAAATAATAGTGAAGTCACGTTGTAATAACAATAACTCATCTCTCGGTCAAGTGTCTAGTGACTATTTCTCTTAGCGGATGCATGTCAATTTAAATCAATACATACAACTTTTTTTAAATCAATAAAAACATTTTCTAAATCCATAAAAGCATTTCAATTAAGATTGGGAGTCATGTCGTTACTTTGTTGAGAATGTGGCCATGTAATAAGTGGGATAATTTGCAGCGACTTGGTCATTGTGGGGAAAAATAACACCCACGCGTCGGGATCCTGATCGTTTTAATGAAGTTGAATACAGAATATTCATATTTGTCAGTGATTTCATGTCAATTCGGCGAACATAAACATAAATGATCGTGGTGAAGATGATGATTAAATTAGGATTAAAAATCGAGAGCCGGCTGCATTTCCTCTCGTTCGTTTTTTCCGACTAAACAACATTATTTTGTTAAATAAGAACATGGTGATGTTTTGTAAATGATTACATGTCTCTTATTTAGCACAGACTATGATCCTATCCGTGACATATGGATCTTAACAAAGATCCGCTATACAGTAGTACCAGACATACTGTACATCCAGCTTACTGTATCGAAGTTGATTTCACATGAGCTCCAGTGTGGAACCCCACTGCACCCCCTGGTGGATCAATGATCCATTGCAGCTGGCTTCACAATAATTCAATTTATTTATCACGGGGGCGGTCTCAAGTCAGACTGGGGGCAGGTTCTTCATCACTGGCCTTTCACGGGCCGACCACGACCCTCACGTTTCAAACTGTCCTAAATAAGCTGCTACATCTGTATACACGTCCTCCTGGCGAGACCTCAAATAATCTTCTTAATATCTATCAAACTATAGATCCTATCCTAATGGACGTAGATTTTAAAAGTACAATATACACTTCTCGCTAGAAATGTAATCAAAAAGCATTATAAGGGCCAAACTATCCTACAATTTAGCATTTTCCACAAAAAATGTATCGAGTGTCCGCCATGTTGGTTTTTTCTCACGCTGGTAAAGTTTTCGATCACGTGACATGGACACTGCTCATTAGAAATGAATAGGAAAAAATATTGTATCCATGTCACATCTTGAGATGGTTATTTGTGATTATAAAACGGACAAGTCAAATCAAGCAATCTGATTGGTTCTTAGCCGTGATATAATGAGCGTATATCACGGGTAGAGTTGTAGTTACTTTTCACAACAAGTCAGTATCCCTCCGCGTCTGAGAAAAGCTACAACCGTTACAACTGTTACATTACGTCCGTTACGAAACTAACTAACTAACAAAGCTTAAGATGGAAACATGTAAGGGATAATGTACAGCAAGGACTTATTGACCGTTGTTAAGGACGCTAACATCTGCAGAAAGAAGTCCGGTCGATTTAACTGTATACAGTTGGGCTGAAAAGCAATGCTTTTCAAACTGCGACAAGAAAACAGCGGAGAAGTAACGGGGCAGAAACCCTCCTTTTTACGCAGCGGTCCAGACATAGACATCAAACGGCAAAACATATTCAGTTGCCAGTTACTTTGGCATTAGGGCAGGGATATCTAGATACTTTCCAAGGTTTGACCTAATGAATTGTGCTACTTTTAAAACAAGCAACGATGTTTTCAAATCTGTAATCAAAAAGGTCCGTAAAAACGCTATCGAAGCAGTTCCTACCGTTGCTACGTAGTTCAAACAGTAACAACGGACTATTTTTGATCTGCCTGTTGGGTGTTCTTTTACCCATAATGACCGCCTCGCTGCACAATATCCCTTACTTAAAGGTGGGGTAGGTAATTTTGGAGAAACCAGCTCGAGTGAGCTAGAATTTGAAAATACACAGCCGGAAAAAATCTGCCACTTCCTTACAGAGCCCCTCCTCCAACACACACGAACGCGCACATGACCAATGAGGGCACGAGATAAGTTTGTGCACAGATGGAAGGCTGACAGGCAGGTAGGCCATCCAGTTATTTTAGCCGGGCCGGCTAAAATGACTGGTCGTGCTGTTTACAGTACTACGGCTTCCACAGATGACATTTTTTTATGGATTTTTTGTCAAAGCACTTAAGATATTCATTGCTATCGGGATGTTAAGAGCATTCCATGGAATATAACAAAAAGTGTATGTCGAGCCGGTTTCTCAAACTTACCTACCCCACCTTTAACTTTGACCTCCGGGGTGGCCTTACTATGGAGGAGTGGATTGAGCAGTGCCTATCTCCAGAAAAAAAATGCACCTAAACGACGACATGCAAAGCTACGTGAAGAGCAGGTAGACCAACTGGAAAAGTACCACTATTCAAAAGCTTTCTGATGCGGGTCTTGAAACAAAGCAGAGAAATTATGACCATTAGTGGCCACAGGTGCGAAAGCTCACTCCAGAACTACAGGAAGCCGAATCTCGGGGACCGGAGAAAGTGGAGCAATATTCTCGCCACGCCTCTAGGCTGTTGCTTGGGGTTGTTGAGGTTTTTGAGGTTGTTCTAGGCCCTAGAACAACCTCAACCTATACAAGTAACCACGTAAGCCATTCTACTGATGCTGGACAGTTTTTCAGTGGGTACACAATAAACGGCAACATACAAATGAATGTAAATAAATAGCCAAATAATCAATCAACGCTCTCTGTCTAATATGTTCGAACCACGCCCCTTAGCTGTGATATAATGACCATATACCACGGCCTGTCGTGAGCTATTGCTTAAATATACTATGTCTTGCCCTGTGGACCAACGTAGCTATTTCACGTTTTTTTGTGAGACTGGGTTGGCAGAAACTCAAACGGGACAGGCCGGTGACACCGGAGTATACAGCGCTGGAGTGAGGAGTCAGACTCTGCTCTGCAGCACTGCTTTGAAACTACGGAGTGGTGAATGTCTTCTCTACTCCCTGTTCACACACGACTGCATGGCCACACACAGCTCCAATGGCCTGATCACCAACGGCGACGAGACGGCGTACAGAGAGGTTGAAAACCTGACATCTTGGTGCCAGGAGAACAACCTCCATCTCAACATCAGCAAAACCAAGGAGCTGATTGTGGATTACAGGAAGCAGCAGAGAGAGGGACACGCCCGCATCGCCATCAATGGGACTACGGTGGAGAGAGTCAGCAGCTTCAGGTTCCTCGGTGTCCACATCACTGAGGACCTGACATGGACTCATCACACTAACACCATCAAAACAGCTCGACAGCGGCTCTTATTCCTCTGCAGGCTGAGGAGGTTCAACATGGACTCCAGGATACTCTGCAACTTCTACAGGTGCACCATAGAGAGGATCCGGACCTTCTACAGGTGCACCATAGAGAGTATCCTGACCTTCTACAGGTGCACCATAGAGAGGATCCTGACCTTCTACAGGTGCACCATAGAGAGGATCCTGACCTTCTACAGGTGCACCATAGACAGTATCACCAGGACAGAGCTGCCATCCATGGAGGACCTCTACTCCCACCTGCTCAGGAAGAAAGCCCTCAGGATTATCAAAGACCCCCATCACCCCAGCAACAAACTCTTCTGTCTGCTGCCGTCTGGCAGGCGGTACCGCAGCATCAGGACTAAAACCACCAGACTCAGGGACAGTTTCATCCCATAGGCCATACGACTGTTACACACCTGAGCTTGAACCATTTGTATTGTTGTTATTTTTTTAGGTCTTGGAATTACATTGTTGAGGAACCTCTGACCAAAGGTTTTCATTCATTATAAAACTACACTGTAGTTGTGTATATGATATGACATTAAACCTCTGAATCTTGAATCACATTAATAATTATTGATGCATTAAAGGTCTCCTATCATGCAAAATGCACTTTTTTTATGTATTTTATACATAAATATGTGTCCCCGGTGTGTCAGGGAACTCACAAAGTGTCAGAAACCAAAACCCTTCTCTTTTCCTCCGTTCCAAAATCTCTAAAAATTAACAACGGAAGCTGATGCAGACTTGCTGCCGATATGACGTAATATCGGAAATGTGGGCCACATTACACATTACGCCCACGGCCCTATCAGAAACCTTTCTATCAGAAACAATGCAGGACGTGTTTTGGACGTTATATGGTCTTTGTTTACATTAGCAAGCCTCGCTAACACTCAGAGCTAACCTGTACTGGAGAGAGTATGTGTAAAAAAGCAGGATATAAAAAAAGGAACTCACCTTGTAGTAAACCCGCAAGAGAAAAAGCATTTGAGCTCCATACTGTTTCAGAAATAATCCTTGATGTGGTTTGGAACATGATATGGCGTTTCATCACAGCAGCATTTAGCTGAGAATCTCTCTGTAGAATTCTGAGCAGGAATTAGCTCAATTTTTCTAACAGGGCGGAAACAGAGGGATATGAGGGATGTCCAAAATGCATGATCTGTTTGGTATTTTGAGCAAAACACATCATGGACATGTTTTTTATATATTTGTATATATCTGAGACCCATAATATATGCCTAAAAATACCATGATAGGAGATCTTTAAAGTGTTATCATAGCTGATAAAGGTGCAGCTAGTTTGAATGACTTTGTATACTGCAGGGTAGCTTGTGAATTTACTCCAGGTGGAACTAAAGTCTGATTTAACACTTGATTATATTTCACATCATTCATCCAAATCTGCAAAGTAACTAAAGGTATTAAATGAATGTAGTGGTGTAAAAGTACAAAGTAGCAACACATTTAAATACTCAAGTAATGTACGAGTACTTCAAAATTGTACTAAAGTAAAGTACTTAGTTACTTTACACCACTGACAATTTACACAACATGCAGATTCACATGGGTCAAGCCAATGTAGGAAAACAATGTCTGTTCACATCCCGAGGACGAGGATGGTTGCCTAGCATCTCAACCATTAGCCTAGCTCCTGCTAACATATGATGTTTTTTCTCTCACATGTAAGGGGTCTCTAGATAATTGGGACACCTTTTAATTTTTTACAGCCATGAAAAAGTTCACTTTACATAAAAATGTCTTTTTTATTCCATGTATACACCAGGCCAATCAACTGTGGAGTTTGAGTGTGTGGAAGAAACAAATCTGATCCTGATCCACTCCAACAAGCTCAACTACACCACTGCTAGGCTGATCGCTTCAGGTAGGACACACAACACACAAACACACACACACACACACACACACACACACACACACACACACACACACACACACACACACACACACACACACACACACACACACACACACACACACACACACACACACACACACACACACACACACACACACACACACACACACAGTATGTAGTCTCTGAGAAGCTGAAGTCTCTGGTCATTGTTGGGGATTGCTAAAATGACAAACCTCTTCAGTGTAGCATTGAGGTCAAATTAAACTTTAATGTCAATCTTTCAGTTTGTGTGTACAGACAGAGAGGGGAGAGAGTTCAGCCTCCTGACAGCGTGGTGGAAAAAACTGTTCTTTAGTCGGGTGGTGCTCGAGTCGAGCACAGTAGTGAGAGAGAATGATTCTCCTTCTAATAGTTCTCCACTTCTGTCCTTGTCTTAGTTTGTGTTTCTGTCTTTACAGACAGCAGGTATTTGGCCTTTGGGTTTTTTAAAGAAAGAAAGAATTACATACTTTTAATAATCCAGTTCCAGAAATTCAGTTGTTCATGTTGTGACTTGCAATCCGTTAAATAATTCCATATGAACACAATCTTTAGGGAGGTTCAGTTGCGGAATCTTTATTCTATTCATGCTAGCATACAGTCAACTTGATTTGACCACACATTAAGCGGATTCCGGGGAAGGGTTATTTAAAAATAAAAGCCTAAGTCGAGAAGTCAATCAACATTATAGTTCAGTTGTTAGGATTTTGTGTATGGGCTCCCTATTGAATGACGATAAGCATGGCGCCTGTTTTCTCAGTTACTTCATCAGATGTGTGAAGAGATTACCTCCTTCTTGCTTCTGAATATGCATAAAGCAAGGCTGTGAACATTCTCTCCTTCAGATAGCCTTATTTAAAAGAGGCTTCTGGAGCCTACTTCTCTGCAAACAACCTACCTGGTTATGTCTTTCCGATGGACGGTTTGATTACCGGCTCTCTTCGGGTAAAAGGAGCCATTTAGGGTCAGAAGCTCCGAGTTGGTTGGGCTGCAACAAGTCCTCCAACTCATATGACCAAATAGGTAGATTGTTCAAGCGCTCATTACGACCAAATAGGTAGATTGTTCAAGCGCTTATTACCAGTGGCGATTCTAGAGTCTGTGGGGGTCCTAGGAAAAAAATCACTGGGGGCCCCTCGAACCAACTTTCATCACCTCAGTGGCGCCCCAACACACTCTCTCCCCCCCCCCCAGAGCGGAGCAAGGCAACGAAACTTAAAATAAGAAGCAGCATTTTACGGCGCGCTATGCACGGGGCCGCCTTGAGGGGGTTTCCCGACATGTCGTTGCAGTAAATTAAAGGGTGTTTCATGTTGTCGTTGCTGTGGACCTTCTTAATCTACCTTCTATGGGGGCCCCCTTCTGGTCCGGGGCCCCAAGCAGTTGCCTGCCTTGCCTGTTCGCAAGCGGCGCCCCTGCTTATAACGACCTATAATCACATTTTAAAGTTTTCGACCTCAAGTGCTCCCGTTGACTGAAATGTCAACAATGTATGTTCACAAATAACCCTCTCTGGAAAATCCTAAATTGTAGGATAGTTTGACCATTAAAATGCTTTTTGATTAGATTTCTAGCGAGAAGTGTATATTGTACTTTTAGAATCTACGTCCAGTGGATGTGTAGGATCTATAGTTTGATAGATATTACGAAGATTATTTGAGGTCTCGCCAGGAGAACGTGTATATACTACGTCTTTCCCTCTATTCATTTCTATTGACGCCCATGTAAAGTTAGCGTCAACCCTCACGGGGTGAAAACAGTATTTCCGGTCTCGAAGTTTTCATAATAAAACCGGAAGTATTCCCCTCACTGTCAAATGATTTTACAGTGATATCTGCAGTATACATCCACTAAAAAACATCAGTTTATCCTTGTTAATTACACAAAATTAATTGGTTTAAATTGTGTACACTGCTTTTGTGTTTTTCTCATAGTTTTTCCCTTTCGATTCTGAGAGACACATTTCTTTTTTCAGATAGGCGAAAACATATAACTACCCATAATCTTCAGCTATCGTTGAATTTTGGTGATTGGATGTTTTAGCCGCAATGCACGTTGGGTTATAGTGTTTATGCGATATGAAATCCGAAATAAAAAAAAAAATAATAATACTTTATTCCGAGTGTACTTGCTTTTCTCTTTGTCATCACATAACGGCATTGTAATAGACGGTTTGGCTGCATTAAATATTACACATCTGCCGTAGTTCTTTATTTATAGAGCCCTGATGAGAAGACCTTTGGACAAACTGGAAGAAATGCCGCCGAAACTGTATGCGTGACGTCGATCATAAATATATCAGCAATTAAACAACATCTTAAATTTCTCTTCACACAATACGTCTCCTTGCAATATCAATAGTGCGGGACATGTAGTAGTCCTAAAGGGACATGGACAAAAAAAAAGAAAAACAGAGAAAAAATCAATGAAAAAAAAAAAAGTCAGGATAACGGGTTTGTATCTCGTGCGTACCAGAACGTTTTGCGTGCGCACGAGAAACTAACCCGTTATCCTAACTTTTTTTTGAGAAAGTTACCAGTGCTCCAAGGAGGAAGTGGAGCGCACAGGAGACAACCATTTCATTGCAGACTGTTATGTTTACGTGGGGAAATGACAGTGCATACATTATTTGAGATATATTTCGTACTCAGACTTCACTTTAAGGACATTTCGGCAAGGGGTGTGTGGTCACTCCAGGAGGCAGCGGGACGTGTAACTCAGAGAAGAGCAGCACCAGCGCTCAAAGAGCTTTTACGCACCGCCTACTCTGTGTTTACCTTCATTGAACAGCTATAAAGAGTTACCACAGGCTGTTACGTCTTAACCACACACACCTCTACACACACACACACACACACACACACACACACACACACACACACACACACACACACACACACACACATCGAACAGCCCGATTACTCCCTCTTTTATTAGTTTTATGAAGGAGATGTCCGGTCACCAGGGCCGGCCCTAGACTTTTGGGGGCCCTAAGCGAGCTTTGGCTTGGGGGCCCCCCTCACTCTAGCGCGTTCTCACTTCACACAACACGTAACCCACTTTTGTCTTATGATGATAGCATAAGCACACATATTGTATAAATAAGCATGTAAACACCGTGGACCTAACATCCTCTAGGGGGGGTCCTCACCTCCTCTCGGGGGGTCCGGGGGCATGCTCCCCCGGGAAGTTTTTTTTTTTAAATATTGAAGTTAAAAGCATCAATCTGGTGCACTTTGAGAGCAAAATTAAGAGATCTATGGATACATCACTCAACACCCATATGAAACAGAACTGTAAACAGATTTACTTTTTCTTTATGGATATTTTACAAATCACTCCCCTTTTAAACTGTATTCTTGTTTTGTCATATAGTATTTCATAACTGTTTTTCATTTATTCTCTCTGGCTGTCCATCTCATAATGTTCACATAAAAACTAGCTGTCAATAGGAATATCATTCAGAAGAATTATAATTTCATGCAAAAATCTGTCACAAAAAGAGGTTGCACATTTACATTCAGGTGTTGTTATGGCAACGACAGTGGCCAAACAGCCACATTTACTGCTGCAAATACGTTCAATCATGCTGTCGACACATAAATGGTGGCAACTATGCCACCATTTCAGCTGACTTTTTCTCAGAAATACTGTCTCATAACATCCATATATTTCAGTGCTAGGTTGATGCTTAGCTAAGCTAACTATTAAACACTTTAACTGACAGGACTCAGGATCAACTGTGTACTGTAAGGTAGCTTCTAGCTTCATGTTGAACAGTAAGTCAACATTTCCCAGAGAGCTTTCTTTGAAATCACCAGGTAACTCTAAAAAACATTACATTTAGATTGTATGACAAAGTGTTTATTTAGCCTGTTAAGCACCAAGCCTGTTTTTCATGTTTCAGGCTCGAAAATGACATGCCCAAAACAAATGACTACAAGTTAACTTCTAAAAGGATTATATGAATAATTTATTTTATCAAAGCAAGGTTACATCTGTGAGTTGGATGTAGAAGTGTCAGAATCAATATAGATGTTTTTTATTTTAAAGAAAATTCAGATTTTACATAGTAAAAAACTGTAAATTATAGTGTCCGTCCAAAAATAATTTTTTACAGACAGTGAAAACTACCCTTGGATGATGGGTTAGTAGACTAAAAGCTTTAGGAATCCAAAGTACAACATATACTAAGTACCCTGTATCAAGATTGATGCAAAACAAGTGACATTTGACCTTTTTAGAGAGGTTTAGCCAAAACCACTCTGAGGTGATTTGGGTGAAAATGTTTTTTTTTCCATATCTCTGGCCCCCCTTGCTCGATTTTGATGGTTGACACCTCTGTCTGACCGTTAGAGCCAATAGAATCGAAGGGGGAGGCTCCCACACACACACGTTGTGAAGAGAAAAGGTGGGGGCTGCGCGCATGTAAATGTGCAGCAGAGTGGACCGATCTCTCGCTCTGACATTTGGAAATGAAAAAGCAGTGTTATTGCTTATGGATTATCAGAAATAATTTCAAAGAGGACACAGATACATTCGATGAACCTATGGATTAACTGCAACATCGTTTTTTTATCGTTTTAATGCCATTGAAGACCCGTTTTGACCAAGGTAAGCCATGTTAGCGTTTCTAGCTACCTAGCTCCACATGTTATGATGTACGCTTTCGTTTATAGCGTCGCAAATGTTTATCACTGAGTGTTGAGGTGGGCACCAAACGATTCTGTGTCTCCAGGACACCCAAAACGAGTGGTTTGCTGTGCATCTAGGATAAGTAATAAGGGAGTTATTGTGAGTTTAAGTGCCGTTTTAGGTTACATTTTTTCGCTCGTGGCTAATTCAGAGGCTGAGTGTTAGCATTGTGTTTTTTTTTTGGATTTTTAAAAAAAAAAGATCAGTTAGCTGAGTTTCTTCCCGTTACATGGATATAAAATATTCATAGTTTATTAAATATTAAGATTCCT